ATTTCAATGTTCTATTTCTCAGTTTCTTTCCATAAAGTGAGCTCAGTACCCTGGAGCTGAATACGTGCTGAAAGCTGGCTGCTTCTTGCTTTAATTTGAGCAGTACCACGAGGTGTGCCCACCCCAACTGTCCTGTGCTAGGCCTGGGAAGTCACACTGGGTCTCGACGGCTCGTGGTGAGAGTTGCTCACCTGGGCTCAGGTCACGTGTTAGGATGATGAGAAGTGTGGGCTTTGGCATCAGACACACCTGAGTTTACGTCCCAGCTAGTGGTGGGATTTTGGGCAAGTTGCTTCCCACTGAAGCCTTCATGGGAGAATGACAGCAACTCATGGGGTTCGTGTGAGACCCAGTGGAAACAATCAGACAAAGCCCCTGGCCCATGGTAACCCCCCAGTTAGTGTACTCACCCCATCTCCAGCGTGTCATCTTCGCCACCTCTCCGGAAAGCCTCTGTGGAAGTCCAAGTGCGGGTTAGGGGCGAGGTGCCTCATTGGTACCATCAAACTGCAGAACTAGAAGGTAGCTTGTGAAGGGCAGAGAGCTGGGCCCTGAGCCAGGAAACCTTCACCAAGTCTGGGGTCCCGAGCCCGGGGTACCTCCTGGAGGGAAAGTCCTGGGACCGTGCCACCGTGAGGGGCAACAGGAGGACTGAAGCCAGGACGGAGGAATTGTTGCAGTGAGATTGGAAGGGGGCCCAGGTTACGCTACATTGCAGCGTCTACTCAGGAATAAACTAGAGGCAGTTCCTACACAATCTAGAACAGGGGTTGGCAAACTGCAGCCCCTGGGCCAAATCTGACCCTCTGCCTATCTTTGTAAAGATAAATAATAAAGTTTTATTAAAATGTGATCATGCCCTTCCCTTGGGTGTGGTCTGTGGCTGCTTTTGTGCTACAAAGGCAGGGTTGAGTGGTTGGGTTGAGTAGTCAAAAAAGAGACTACTATATCCTGCAAAGCCTAAGCTATTTTATCCTCTGGCCCCTTATAGAAAAAAAGTGCTGCTCTCTGGTCCAGGGGGCCTCACGCGCATGGGCGGCAGTGGCTGGGGTCACAAACCTTAGAGTCAGACCGGCTTGACCGTGAGACGCAGGGGGTCATCTAGAATTGTGCAGTGTGTGGCCTGTTCCACCGTGAACAGTTGCCTGCCCTGCCCGAGGAGGGTTTCCTGCCAGTTTGGGGGTGCTACAGAGGGAAGGAAGCAGCGTCTTGAAAATGCCAGCATCTCACCGGAGGCCATCGTTCCCGCTGGGAGTCAACAGCATGAAGTCTGGGGGGACCTGAGCAGGCAGAGGGGGTGAGTCTAAATTTAGACTTTCCAGAGCTGCTTTGTAAACCAGAGCCCCAGGAAGCCCAGAGAGGGACAGCTGGCACACACCATCTCGTCTCTGGTTTGCCTCCACATGTTCGAAGGTTGGATGCGTGAGCAGATAATTAATTGGCCTTAAATAAGATGTTCCGGGAGAGTCAGGGAGAAGCCAATGGGGAGATGAAGCTCCATTGTTAGGAGACCTGGGATAGATATTTCTTCTCCTGTGTTTGCTTACGACAGTCACCATGAAATCATGCGAGGCTGGGGTACCCTGGAAAGAATTACGTACATTCTTCTTGCTGGGCGTTATTGGAGCACAGCTGAACCCATGACCTTCCTTTCTCTCCAGGTGAATGCCAGGTCCCTGGTTGGAAGTCAGTTATGATTTAGAGCAGCTCTGAGCCACCAGCTCCAAATGGGGGCTGGATGTGCTGCCCCCTGAAGCTGCATCATGCCAAGAGCTGCCACACTCAATCCCCTGCCCAGGTGGGAACATCAGATGCCAGGTCTGCCCCTCTGCAGGGCTGATGGGCCCATAGCTCTTGGTATATCACACAAGCAACAAATCACTAATCTGAGACTTCTTAGGTAATAGGTGTTTTGTAATCAGTCCACCTGTGGAAAAACACAAAGTTTTGACAGTAGAAATTGTAGAGGATTTATAGAGAGAAACTTAGAAAATAAAGAGATTTGATTAGAGAGGTGTCACAGCAAACTCGAATAGGAACAGAGACGTGGTCGGACAAGGGCCTCCTGGTTAGTGCTGGAACTCAGAGAGGCAGCATCAAAGCAGAAGATGATGCGAAGCGGGCGAAGGTTCAGGGATGATGGCTCGTCTGAGCGGTCGGGGCTTGCCATGGGAAGAGCCTGCTGAAGCCGTCGCCCTGCAGCAGCACGCCAGCGAGGCCAGGCTGGCTGTCTAGGGTGTGGGCATCACGATGGCAGAGACGCAGCCAAGGCTCCTTGGGGACCCCGGTCCACAGTTGTTTTCTATACTTCGAGCCCTGGACTTAAGCTTGAAGTCTAGTTGAGAGGTACACATGAATGGAATTTACATAACTTCCCAAATGATAGACACACGAAGGCTATAGGAGTTTGGGAAGGGGAGACATGGCCCTGAGGACCAACCGGGATGGATGCATCACCAAGAAAGTGAGACCTCATCTGGATTCTGAATGATGGACAGGATTTCAGCAAGTGGGGAGGAAGAAGGAGAACACTTCAGGACCTGGGAAGGTGCAAGCAGAGAAGCAAGGCAGGGATGGACAGAGCATATCTGGAGGCCCACGAGGAAGGCAGAGAAGCTGTGCCAGGTGACGTGGCTCCTGCCCACGGACGGTGACAACGTGTTGGAAAGACCACACACTCACTCAGACACACTGCACATGCAGGGAAGATGGTCCCTCCACCGTGTGAGAGGGCAAAGAGAGAGTTTTTAAAAATACATAAAGCACCTCTTAATTATTCACAGATTATCTGCATTGCAGCTGATCCCCAACAAACCCTGCTTTCAGCCCGCTGGTGCTGGTGATGTCATCTCACTGCTTATGTGCGTGCTCCCATCTCTGTTTACAACCCTGTGAGCGCTGGAAAGGGAAGAAGGCTTAAGTCCCTCCTCGGAAAGCAAAACAGATCATTGCCTCTGGTGGCTGTGCCCTTGAAAACCAGACCGGGCCTGTGGGTAGAGGGTGACAGAAGCTCCAAGTTACTTTCTGTTACCCGACTTGGGCAGCAGGGGCCAGAGGAGGGACGGAATGGGGCCCCGGGCGCTCTGTTGTTCCCCTGCACTTGACATCCAGGTGGACTTCACTGGCACAGATGTTAGACTGCCGCTCGGTGGGTGGCCCCAGCACGGACTCCCATTGGCCAGGAATCCCCTAACAGAGCGAATGGTATTCATGTATCACTTCATCAAGTGTTTATCGGCCCTGTCTGTGCTAGAAGCACTGAGCTGGTATTCGCTGAGCCTCGGTGCCCTCGTGTGCAAGGTGAGAACCTTGTCTCTCAGTGGAGGTGCTGGCATTTGGGGGTGGGTATGGGCTATTCACTGACGAAGGAGCTTGGCAGGATGGTAAGCCAATCTGGCCCTGCCCATCAAAGGCCAGTAGTGACCCCTCTTCAGATGAGCCGAGGAGGGCAGGGCCATCCCCAGTGAAGGACCATTGGCTCTGTTTGCTACAATTGCTCCCCAGTCTGAAATTCTGCCAGTCTATGATTATTTTGCTGCTGGGCCCAACACAAACCTGCAAAGTGAAATTGCTGAAGATCTGATGAAAAACCAGAACGGTAGGTGCATCTTATTTAAGTGTAAGGGAACTTCCAACAGTAGCAACAATAGGTGACATCTGTTGAGCAAGTGCTATGTTCTAGACCCATGGCAGATTTCTTTCATTAGAAGTTTTTAAAGGGGATCTGATTACTTACTACTTCGTGTCATCTGTGTCCTCTAATTTGCCTTCTTAATTCCAGAGCATCGACTGTTGTTTTGCTCCATTTATTATTCGCAGAAATGTGCAGAGCACCGATATGAAAGCATTCCCTGCAGGGGACCCTGCAGTGTGATGGGAATAGAGAAGGAGCCCTAGCTAGATTCACTCCTTTGTCCTGGATGCAGTGTTTGTTCCTCATGTGTGCATAGACTTAATAAACTCATGAAACCTGCCACTTCCTTAGAAGCTATGATATTATTGCCTTTACCTCAGAGGCCTCAATGTACATTGCTAGTTTTGCAGGTTTTCCCCCCCAAGCTTGGGTCCTATGCCTGTAATTGGAGTGGGCAGCCACCAGGGGGCAGTCAAGACCGGATTTGACCCATTGCTTTGAAGAGCTAGGTCCTCACCATGGGAAAGAATACTGTGCTAGTCCTGGTGCCATGCTAAGACGTCTGTGCCCTGGTGCCCTGCCCCGGTGGTTCAGCTGGTTGGAGTATCATCTCTGCACCAAAAGGTTATGGGTCCAATTCCTGGTCAGGGCATGTACAGGAGGCAATCCCTTGTGTTTCTTTCTCTCTCTCTCCCCCTTCCTCTCTCTCTAAAATCAATAAAAACATATCCTCAGGTGAAGATTAAAAAAAAAAGTCTGTGCCCTGGTTTCCTGGGCAGAGCCCCTTGATTAGAGTGGCAATATAATTTCCTTCTAATTTGGTGTGTGTGCTTATGCCACCTACATGGGAAGCAAGAGATGCAATTGTAATTAAATTTCTAATTTGAATATTAAGTTATTAAAATATTCAAAGACATTAGCAAAAGAAAGAAGAAAAGGGGTCCAAGTGAAGAAACGAGATTATTGATCCTTTATTCTTCTATCTGCACCTCGTTCCTTTTTACTCTCAGCCTTCCCAGCTGGTGCCGATGGGTGTTTGGAGAGCTTAGAGAATTTCCCAAAGGTCAGAGCCCATCACTCCCACCTACAATCCGTGTATGCTAACCTTAGGGAAGCAAGTATTTACATAAAAGGCACACCATTTGATGATCTTATCAAATCAATCCCTCTTCTCTCTTCCAGGGGAGTGCTGCACACAGCAGGAGGGGTGGCTGGGCAATGCAAAGCCTGGAATCCCCTGAGCAAGCAGTGTTTCAGCTGGCTGGACAGATCAAATAACACTGGGGCTGGTTAACAAAAGACAGGCAAGCGGGAAGGTGTTGGAAGCCAGAGTGTGGAAATTTACCCAACGTTTTTTCTTTGACAGGGAAGGAGACTCTGAAAGATGCCGAGTTCCTGCAGCGGCTCTGAGTCCAGCGGAGCACAGCCTCGTTCGAGGTGGCATGGGTGAGGGGGCGACAGAGGATGCTGCCCCCGCTGAAGCCTCCAGAGAAGCCTGGCCTGGCAGCTGAGCACCCCTGGGATTCGGGACTTCAGGTGTAACTTGGTGTAGAGCTCATGCACACAGTGCTTGAATCTCTCCAGCTTTCCTCACTGGCACTCACCAGGCTGGTCTGGGTTGCAGCATCCAAGGTGAGCTGGTAGAAAGGGGAGCTGGTCAAGGTGGAAAGAAGCCCCTAGAAGCCTCCAGAATCCGTTGTTGGAATCCCTTCATTCTGCTCAGGACACAGAGACCAAGCTACCAAGCTGCCTGGGGCTGTGATACCACCGAGCTTTGGACCAGTGTCAGTAAAGAAACGCAGCTCAGCAAAGGCATTGCAGCCCCAAGGAATCTCTCTTAACAAAGGATTTAAAGGGGAGAGTTTCTGCATTTTCACTTTGTGGTCCATTCTGATAGACAACTTGACACTCACGTGGATAATGAGCCTGGTTTTTCTTTCCAAGATGCTACCCTTGAAAGAAACATGAGCCATTGTAAGTGTGGAGGAGGGCTTGGGATCCCCAGGAGTTGGTGGACAGCCCTCCCAGGGCAGGTTAACAAAGCAGCGTGAGCCTCCGGCTTCTGCAGCTCAGCAAGCATGGACATGTGCCACTCTTGTCTCCAGAGAGTTGGTGGCAGTGACATCACCACAAGAAAAAGCATCCCTTTGCTCTGGAACTTGACAGAATGAGGTGTGCTGGGGAAGCCACTGGCCGGGACTTGGCCTTTCCTGACTGCCCCTCTGTCCCACGGGCAGCCCCTGACCACCACTGAGCCAACGATGGCCGAGAAGGGTGACTGCCTTGCTAGTGTCTACGGGTATGACCTCGGTGGGCGCTTCGTTGACTTCCGGCCCCTGGGCTTTGGCGTCAATGGGCTGGTGCTGTCGGCCATGGACAGCAGGACCTGCCGGAAGGTGGCCGTGAAGAAGATCACCCTGAGCGACGCCCGCAGCATGAAGCACGCGCTCCGGGAGATCAAAATCATCCGGCGCCTGGACCACGACAACATCGTGAAGGTGTACGAGGTGCTGGGGCCCAAGGGGGCCAGCCTGCAGGGCGAGCTGTTCAAGTTCAGCGTGGCCTACATCGTGCAGGAGTACATGGAGACCGACCTGGCCCGCCTGCTGGAGCAGGGCACCCTGACCGAGGAGCACGCGAAGCTGTTCATGTACCAGCTGCTCCGCGGGCTCAAGTACATCCACTCGGCCAACGTGCTGCACAGGGACCTGAAGCCCGCCAACATCTTCATCAGCACGGAGGACCTCGTGCTCAAGATCGGGGACTTCGGGTTGGCGAGGATCGTCGATCAGCACTATTCGCACAAGGTATGTCTGGCTGGAATGGCTGATGGGGGGGCCCATGGGGTCCTCCAGCCTGCTCGCGATGTTTCGGAGTGTATTGAGAGTGCAGTGCTAGCTCCGTGGGAGTCAGGGGGCTGGGGGCTGTGTCTGGGGGTGGTGGGAGCGTGCTGAAAAGACCACTGGCCTGAAAAGATGTGGTAAGGGGAGGCTCAAGTTCTTGATCTTGGCTCTGCCCAATGCCACAAATAATAACTCCTGGCTGTGCAAGAGGGCATTGGACTAGATTGCTTCTAAGATTTCTCCCGGCTCCAAACTCTATGGCTTTAAAATTGTGCAGTTGGTGAATTTGCCCCTAGGATCCTCCAACCACCTCTTCCCCCTATTGCCTGCTCAGGCCTCCTGATGAGGCTTCTCACCGCACATGCTCTGGTTCATCTTGCCTCCTCCTTCTGTCAAAGCTTGCCCACTCTCGGTCCCATTCTCTCTGTCAGTGGGCAAGGGGCACGAACAGTTAATATGATCAACTCGTCCTCAGGGTCCATTCATTATCGAGCACATGGCTCAGCCCTCTCAGGCCCCACGATGCCCCGGCCCCTGGGTGTGATAAAGCTACGGGGGTCTGGATGGTACTACTGAGACCCCACGTGGTGGGTGGCTAAATGTCCCACCAGAGTGCTCAGGGATCAGAGCTGACCTCCAGTATACTGGTGGAGATAGTGACATACCCCCAGACCACTTCTGACCCAAATGCACTGCTCCTCTCAGGAGCTGGGAGTCCTCTGGAAATCTGTTCCCCTCACCCCATGGTTCCTGCTACTTTGGGGGAGCCTCTGAGTAGCTCAGCCTGCACACATGTCACCAGGTACCCTTGACCAGAGCTGGAGGGTGGAGGTCATCTCCAGCCTCCTGCAAAAACCTTTGTGCCACAAATGTTTATTAGAATGAAAACATCCCCTAGTAGGTATGTGCACCACAAACTATCACCAGCCAAGGGGCTGGTGTGGGCTATGAAAGGGAATGGTAGCTCTGATCTTGAGCACGCTCCAGCACACTATTTGCCCACAGCCAGAAGGTCGCAGATGCACAGAACGGCGCTGACCTCCCTGGCGCAGCTGCAGTGGGAGGGTGTGCGGGGCAGAGGGAGGCGGTGCTCCCTGTCCCACCTTCACTGGCTGGAGCTTGGACTCCAGCCCAGATTTCAGAGCCCAGATCAGCTCAGCCGGCTCTCACTCCCTGATGCCACCTTCCCTGTGAGATTGCCCTCTGCTTCCCAGGCCACATCCGTCAGAGCTGACAGCTGACTCCTTAGGCAGGAATGTCTATGGCAAACGAACAAGCACAAACAAAAACACACCCATGTATACACACACACACACAAGGCTTCCTGCTGTCCTAGTGCCCTGTGCTGCTTCTACCTTCTCTTTCCTCTCAGGAGCAATGACTCCAAGCAACTGAACCAACATTTTAACTCAAACCGGTTTCTATTTGGTAATCTTAAGGGAGCCCATGACACTCCTATTTCTGGGATGCGCAAAACCACCTTCTGAATGGGATGAAACTGGTACACTGGGAACAATCACAGGACCTTCCTTGATTACAGAGTCTAATTAATGAAGTTTTGTATTATAGGGGAAATGCTCAGAACAGTTGTTTGGGAAACAAACAGCAAAGGTGATTTCTGGGGCGAGGACTGGCTGTAGAAATAAATCCTAGGAGGTATGTGGTGTGAGGAGGCAGAGACACTCTGCTGGAGCTAGCTCGGGACACAGACGCGCCCCATCCGGGAGCCTCGGTTTCCCCACCTTTGACAGGGATGATAATACAAGCCCCGTCCGTCCCACTGGCTGTGGTTATGAGTCAAAGTGGAGCATGAATGTAAAGCCGCTTGGAAAGTAGCGAGGACCCCATCCATTCATTTCTTGAGAGTTTTTTTTAGTGCATGCGGGGCTCAGGCCAAGTGCTGGGAGCCTCGGAGGTTCACTGACCACCCACTGTGAGCGGCTGCTACCCCTTTACTCAGGGCAGGAAGCCACTCCTTCAAAGGGGACTTTCATTTTCCTGATGCAGAGGAGTTTCAGTGCTCTGACTTCCTCGCCTTGGGCTCTGTTCAGTACTAGCTCTTGGAGGTTAAAACAAAACCACTGGAGCTGGTCACAAACCCTGTAGGTGTCCGCATGAACCCTGTGTTTGGCAGGTGCCACCTGCCTCTTCCACTTCCTTTCTCATCTACCTTCTGCTTTTAGTTAGCTTCCTCCCTTCTCTTCCCTGAGTGATGACGGAAGGGGTATATTTGGTGCTTTTCTTTACCCAAAGTACATCGAAATCAGTTCTCACTAAATCCTCATAATGCCGGGAGGCACTTGGGGAAACTGGTCCATTCTGAAACACAGGACTGGCTTTCTCCAGATTACTTGACCAGTGGTGGCCACAGGGGCACTGGAGCTTGGGCCTTCTTGGGTCTTGGTGGGTGGTCTTTCAGTGCCCCATCTCCTTCAGGAAGGCTTTCTGAATCCCCAGTCGGAATTAATCTTTCCTTCCTCTGAATTTCCAGTCACTTTCCCCCCGCTTCCGTAACCTGGATCGTCTAGCACTGACGACCATGCTCTGCTCTGTCCTATGGGCACGTGCTTCTTGTGCTCTCCTCAGCTGGGAGCCCCTTGGCTCTTTGCAGGTTGTCTCATGTTGGTCTTGGTTTCCTCCGGGGAGTCTAAACACTGTACCTGAGACCTGGCCCAGTTGATCTGGTCGGCTGTCTCAAGGAGCTGGAAGACTAGTCACTTACCAACTCATTGCAGATAGGAAGCTAGTAGAGTTTATTGATCCCATGTGGTTAGAAGCTTTGAAAAAGAGCATATACAAGGGAGAGACATTAAAATGTGTACCTTTGCCCTGGCCAGGTAGCTCAGTTAGTTAGAGCATCGTCCCTCCAGGCCAAGGTGGCTGGTCCCATCCCCAGAGAGCACACAAACAAGAGTCAACCAACGAATGCATAAATTAGTGGAACCACAAATCAGTGTTTCTCTCTCTCTCCAATCTATAAATAAAACAAAATGTATACCTTCAAAACTTAAATAGATGAAAATTAATGTGCAATTTATGCATGTATGATGAGAGCTAACATGTAACACAATTCTAATAGAATCAGAGGAGGAAGAAAAAGAGAGCACGTAATTCTTCCAGTCAGTGGATTGCTTGGGGTCAGATGTGTGTGTCTGCTCTCGCTGGTGTGCGTGGAGGGGACGTTTACACGTGAACTGCCCTGAATTTGACCCTCTCCTAAGCTTTTTTGGATTCTGTTTTGAAGTGCCTGTGCCCACCTGGGATGAAGTTACCAAAAGGTAAGGTGACCCTTTTTTCTAGGCTGATTTAATTCAGTGCTGGGGACAGGCTTCGTGATGCAGCCAGGGGCTGGACGCAGCCCCTGGCCCGGCACAACCCACCTAGCAGTCAGCAGCAGCTGGGATCTCACCGCCCACACCATGCCTTCCCTACGGGTGGACAGTACGTCTCCTAAACCTTTAGGTCCCCTCCTCTAGCACGAAGTTCAGCACAGGGCGGGGGGCCACTGTGTTTGTCTGCTGCCAACAAAAGCTGTTTCTCTTTTCTAAGGAGCAGCTGGGAGCACCAGGGCTCCAGTCCAAGTCTGGGCACGTGTCCCCTGCCACACCGCCCCTGGTGGCCTTGGTCTTCGTGAGGTCCACAGGGCAACTAGAGGCCCCAGGAGCTCACACTGTGAGTGAGATGGCGGTGGTGGCAGTGGGGGTGCTCTGGTGGCTGTCTATCACCAGAGGCAGCTTGGGGAGCACTGGTCTCATTTGCGTCGTTAGTGCTCACCTCGCTACCTGCGTGACTCCAGGCGAGTCCTTTTCCTTGTGTAGCTGATTCTGAGAGTAAGAGGTCAGTAAGACCTCCCAGGCATCTCAGGCATTTCCTTCACTTCGCAGATGGTAAAACCGAGGCCTGGAAAGGAAGAGAGACCCACTCAAGGTCACACGATGAGTGGCTGGGCCAGGAGTGCAACGCCCGTGGTTCAGCTCCGTGTCCACCGACTTTCCTGGCCCCTCTGCTCCATGGTCTTGCGGACCGGACAGGGTCCTCCTCGCTTTACGGGATTCATGTTAGAGTCGAATGCAAGTGTGGATGTCAAAGTACTTTCAGATGTAAGCTAAATCACTAACAGAACTATTTGCCCAATAAGTGCCACGTTACAGGATGGGGGAAACAACAGACACACAGATGTCCGTTCTCTCCAGCCCTCAACCCCACCCTCACACCCCCAACTGAAATATGGAACCTGCTCCTGACATGACCAAAGGTGGGAGGCCTGGCATGAAGGGTGGCCCCCCACGGAGCATGTTTTCCTTTGAATTTATCCTATTAGGAAGTCAATGATCTCAAAAGAGAGGGAAGAATGTTGTTTAAGACTTCACTGAGCCCTGTGTAAATTCTAAGAAATGTCAGGAGCCCCGGGGAAACTGCAGAGGGCTGAGTAGCGCGTTGACAGCCTCATTAGCTCCCCTCCGGAAGGGGCCACATTCCGCCAGGGGAGGGCGCTGCCTTTCGCCCTTTCGGCCGTGGCCAGGAGGCTGCCAGCAGACTTGCCTTTCCTGGGGGCAGTAGACAGAAATACCCAGGGGAGAAAGCAAGGTTGGAGGCTCATCAGAATTCGGGCAACCAGAGGCTCTTGCGTTTTGGTGGACCATTCCACAAAATCTAAGTTTTCTGCTTGGCCGGCCTGCCTTTGGGTCCTGACCCTGACCCCTCTCCACTCCGGAGCTCTCTGCTTTCTTACATCAGTCACGATCAGAATGCTTTCCCACTTGGCCTTCGTGTCTCGTGCAGATTCCTTAGAAATTAACCAGTGCAGGGTTGTCAAAGTGGGTGTTGGGCCAGCCGTGCCCACTTCACCTGGGAACTTGATCGAGATGCACATTCCCAGGTTCCGTCAGAGGCCTGCTGACTCAGGAGCTCAGGACGGGGCCTGGCAAGCTGTGAGATTCCAATACCGAACTTTTCAGAACCACGGCTCTGAACACACGGAGCAGGCTGTGGGTGGACAGAAAGCTGGTGCCCCTTGGGTGTTTGCTGGTGCTTAAAGCTGTGGCTCTCAAACTTCCGTGCAATGAGGAAGACTAAGAACACCACCCCTCCAGATAACACAGGCACCTTAACTAAAAGGGGTAGTCAAAGGTGGGGCTCTCAGGCGCTGTGGCAGGGAACTGTGAGGGTTGTTTTGGGTAGGATGACTTTTAGGACTCCACTTACACTACAGACTTCCAGGCTGGTCAGCCATCGCTCAAGATTGGTGGGAAGCTACACACTCCAGGGACCTCAACCAAAGGGAGTGGTGGTTCCGTTTAGGTGTGATTTTAACAAGAGTTAGGTGATATGAACAGTTATTTTAGAAAACATATACTATTGATTCTGCTGTAAACCACTTCACTGGATGTGATTTAAAAACAGAGGCATTGACTTTCATAGTTTAGTGAGACTGAGTATTTGATTGAGGGCTCAGCCAGACACTGCAGTTTGTTAAGGCTTGCGGTTCAACTCAAGGTCCCACAGGAGGCAAAGCGGTACATGATGCTGAACACATACAGCCAGCCTCCGAAGGCTTGGTGCTTGGTGTGGAGTTTCGGTTGGCAGCGTTTATGCTGGTTTCATTACGTTGAGCAGCCTTACCTCCTTCCCCCCCTCTCCTGACCACTCAGCCTTGACACTGAACCCGAAGGGAGGAGTGCTCTTTTCTGCCGCTGAAACAGGGTCTTTGATAATGGTCACTGTAGTGTCCATTTGGTGTTCTATGTGCTTATTTTAAAAAATATTTTATTTATTCATTTCTATAGAGAGGGGAAGGGAGGGAGAAGGAGAGGGAGAGAAACACTGATGTGTGAAAGAAACATCGATCAGTTGCCTCTTGCACAGCCCCAACCAGGGACATGGCCCGTGACCCAGGCATGTGCCCTGACTGGGAATAGAACCAATGACCTTTTGATTTTCAGGCCAGCACTCAACCCACTGATCCACACCAGCCAGGGCCTTGTGCTTATATTTTGGATGGTCTCTACATTGCAGGTGGAAAACCTCAAGGTGTAAGGAGTGAGAAAGGGCTTCCCAGGATCCCAGAATAGGCTGGAGCCCACAGTGCTGGCCCTGAAAGAGGGCCAGCCATGCTCAGAGCTCAGGGATTCATGAGAAAATGGACTTGTGGAAGGACAGCCTGCTGGGGGCCCAGTTAGAAGTCCTTAAGCCGCTAAGCGTGTTATTCCAAATCAGTGGAGCTGAAAAGATTTATTTAAAAGGCTATGAAATATCCCTTTTTAAAAGAGAAAATTTGACCTAAGGGATTAGAACAGAGGTTGTACTGGAGATCAAGTGTCCCTGAACACTCAGGCGGACTTGGAAAGCTAATTCTGTGGGCTTTCAGTGCCTCCCTTCCCCTTCTCACTGTAGCCCCATCCCCAGGAGTGGGGTTTTCATGCTGTCCCTTGGCCTCCAGGTGTCCACTGCTGTCCACTCCCAGAACACAACATCCAGGCCTCCCTTTGTTGGAAGCAACCCCACTTAGCGCCAGGGGCGTATTATAGAACTTTAACAAGCAGCCTAGCCCAGGCACCAACCAATCACAAAGGAATCCGGCCGGAGCCCCAGGGCAGTATCCTGCAGATGCCCTGCTTGCCAGGAATTGACCCTTTATTGCCAGATCATAGGGAAGCCTGGGAGTATCTGCGAATGAAGCCAAGGTGATGGATGAGTGAGGAAATCAGGGGTTTGGAGCAGTGGCTATTTACCAGCCATGCTTTTTCTGCCTTCTCCATGTCAAAGCTGGCCCTTTTGAATGTGCCTGTGGATCTGGTTCTGTACTGGGAGAGAGTGGTTGATTAGATAGAGCGGTTGATGAAACAGATCTTCACCTTCAGCAGCTTGCCCATGCAGTGCCCAGGTGTGGCTTTCTCTGTATCATCTTTGGGGTTCGTTGAGTTTCTTGGATCTGTAAGTTGATTTTTTTTCCCTTTATAAAATTAGAGTATAAACACAGGAATATCTATCTATAGAGTAGGACAGTGTCATGTTCCTGAGATGGTCCCACCTTGGGAGGACCTAGGTAAAGAAACTGGAGCAAGGATGGTTATTTTTTTCCTGCCTCACTTTCTCCTTCTTCTCCTCTGGGCTCTGATTACATGTATGTGAACTCAGCTTGGTATCGACACAAAAGATCATCCAATCCTTTTTCTCTGCTTTTTCCAGAATGAATAAATTCTATGTCTCTGTCTTCAGTTTCACTGACACTTTCTTCTTCCATGTCTAATTTGTTTCCATTAGGTGAATTTTTGATTTTGGATAATATACTTTTCCCTCCTAGAATTTTTATTTGGTTCTGTGTATGTGTGTGTGTATGTGTGTGTGTTTAATTTTTATTGAATTCATAGGGGTGACATTTTTTAATAAAATTATGTAGGTTTCAAGTGTACAAGTCTATAATACATCATCTGTATATTGTATTATGTGTTCACCATCCATCACCATTTATCTCTGCTTTACCCTCTTCTACTCCCCAGTCCCCCTTTCCATCTGGTGATTAATCACCATGCTGTTATCTGCGTCTATAAGGATTTTTTTTTTTTGCTTAATCTCTTCACCTTTTTCACCCAGCTCCCCAACTCTCTTCCCCTCTGGCAGTTGTCAGTCTGTTTTCTGTATCAGTAAGTCTATTTCCATTTTGCTTGTTTATTTTGTTCATTAGATTCCACATATAAGTAAATTATATGGTATTTGCCTTTCTCTGACTGGCTAATTTCATTTAGCATAATATTCTCCAAGCCCATCCATGCTGTCACAAAAGGTAAGATTTACTTCTTTTTTACACCCACATAGAATTCCATTGTGTAAATGTCCACAGCTTTTTTCCCCACTCATCTACTGATGGGCACTTGGGCTGCTTCTAAATCTTGGCTATTGTAAATATTGCTGCTATGAACATAGAGGTGCATATATTCTTTTGAATTCGTGTTTTGGTTTTCTTGGGATATATAGCCAGAAGTGGAATCGCTGGGTCATAAGGCAGTTCCATTTTTTACTTACTGAAGACACTCCATACTGTTTTCCACAGTGGCTGCACCAGTCTGCATTCCCACCAACAGTGCACGAGGATTCCCTTTTCTCTACATCCTTGCCAGCACTTGTTGCTTATTGATTTATTGAGGATAGCCATTCTGACAGGTGTGAGGTGATATCTCATTGTGATTTTAATTTGTATTTCTCTAATGATTAGTGTCATTGAGCATCTTTTCATATGTCTATTGGCCATCCATGTGTCTTCTATTTGGTTCTTTTTTACAGTTTTCATTTATGTGCTGAAATTCCCTATCTTTTCATTCATTGAGAACATATTTTCCTTTAAATATTTGAGCATATTTATAGTAGCTGCTTTAAAGTCTTTGATAATCCCAACATCTGGGACACTTCAAAGCCTGTTTTTCTGTTGACTACTTTTTTTTCTTGAATTGGGGTCACATTTTTTTTGCTCCTCCACATTTCTAGCAATGTTTGATTGTTTGTAGACACTGAAGTTGAAACTCTAAAACAGGGGTGTCCAACCTGTGGCCCTCAGACCGAATGTGGCCTGTGATGGCTATGAATGCGGCCCAACACAAAATCGTAAATTTACTGAAAACATGATGAGATTTTTTTTTGTGATTACATGTCACAATGTATTTAATGTATAGCCCAAGACAACTCTTCTTCCAGTGTGGCCCAGAGACACCAAAAGTTTGGACACCCCTGCTCTAAAAGGACTCTGAATTATACTGTTGTCCTTGAATGAGTGTTGGATTTTGTTCTGGCAAGCAGTCAATTTACTGATGGTTCTCCGTGATCCTGTTAAGGCTTGTTGTTAGTCTTTGATAGGGCAGGCCCAACTCTTGTGTTAGAGCATGGTCCTTGCTCTTAGGGCATGGCCTTTCTGTTGTCTCACCTGAGTGCCTGAAATGTTAACAAGGTTTTCCCCCTCTGGTGGGTCTGGAACTTCTATGGATCCAATGCCTTTGCAACCATTAATATCCCTGGTTTTCCTTTAGTTCCCAAATAGTTGTTCTTTGCTAGACCTTGCCAGAATCTCACGCTGTGTATATGTAGCACAGCCTTCAGCCAGAGATCTCTG